AAAAAGATTTTTTGTGTTTTTTAGTTAATTGTCAATATAGCACCAGAGAGACCTTGTGTGTTTTATGTGTAGCTCACCTGGTAGCGCCCCATGTACCACAGCTGAGTCCTTGCTGCAGTGACCGTGAGTTTGACTCCGACCTGTGGCCCTTTACTGTGTGTCACCCCTTCCCCTCCCTCTCTCCCCTCTCTCCCCCTTTCCTGTCACTCTTCAGCTGTCACTATCAATTAAAGGCAGCTCAGCTGAACCAGTTTATATGCAATAAATGTATGTGTTATAGGAATAATATAGGAATAATGCACCAATATTACAGCGCCTGTAATCACATAATGTGGCTGACACAGCTTTCCTGCACTATAATGGCAGATAATCTCTCTACTATAACATATTCACTCGTTTTGTGTCGTCTAGTTTCTCCTGCTGAGCTAATTTTGCCCAAATGGCTTCTCAGAAAATGCCGAACTTGCAGCTTGCTGAGGACATGCAGGAGCTCGAGGACAATCCCAAAAAGACACCTGCTGCCTTTTCAGCGTGATGTCGCAACTTCAGGATGGATGCCATGTTTGGACAGGGCGATCGAGTCCTGTGATGTCACCACATATCACATGACTCACCCATCGCACCCTTCTCCCTTACACACTAGTACTGACCGTGTGTGGCCCCGACTGTTGACCCCTGACCCCCGACGGCTGTGACAGGATTCACATTGCACTTGGACATGTACACACAAATAGATCACCCTGTCAGAGAGAGAGAGAGACACTACACAGAAGGTGATTTCCCTTATGACTGTACGGTGTATCATCCAAAATTAATACATAATTCAGTTTTCTCCAAAGATTTACTTCAATGTGAACATTCCTGACAGAGAATAAACCATCCGGCATGCTGTGCGTTCCTCTGGCTCACGTCTGAACTCATGACATCGGCCCCTTTAAATTTAGAGCTCAGTGGAGTTCACGCTGCCCTCACACACACACACTCCCGACACACTTTACCTGACACATGAAAGTTTATCTGGGATGTGACATAAAGTCTGGTGGGTTTCTATCTACGTCTCCAAGGTGTATATGAGTGCGATTTGGAAAAAGAACCAGTGCTGTGTAATTTGAAGAAGGTGTGAAAAGTCAGTTGAGCAGATTTTATTACGTCTGATAACAATAATTCATCCTATCACGCTCCTTACTGCTGTTATGTGTGACTGAAAGCTCTGTAGTGTATCAGTGCTGTACTGTAGACCAGTGCTGAAAAGTAACTAAGTACATTTACTCAAGTAGACAAGTGTATTTTATTTCTGGGTCCAATATCACAAATTAACAATCTGTACAGCGACATCCTCTGTCCCTCTGATCCTATCCTAAGTACTCTATTTTTAGATACAATTTTGAGGTATTTCTACATTACTTTCTGTTACTTTACACTTTTACTTCACT